GTGTTGAGTGGACGTTAAACCCCATTTCTCTCTCTCTCTTGCACGAAATTAGATAAATTATGTTTGAACTGCTACATGAAAGTTGGTCTAATATTGGGAATTGCGTGCCAGATATTTTGTTATGGAAATGGTCGGATATGTTTATGATTTTGCATGTTTGACATCTGGCATGGCCACAAGTTTTTGTTTTAACTGCTGATTGTCACTCAAATTGACAACTGCCTGTCCTAAAGACGGCTTCTCATTCCTTTTCCCTGATTCTAGTTTAAATTCCCCATCCAACAGTTGATAATTTCTCTGGTCGTGTCCAGGCCTCACACTGGCTTTCAATTTTTTTCCGCCAAAATGGATGATAATTTTTATACAAAAAAAATGTTCATATTTGTTTCCACTAACTGGAATATTTTATCTGCCAAAATTGTGTGATAAAAAAGACAACATCTAACAATTTTATGTCTCAGCTAGACTTATTATAAAACAATTACCGATATATATATATATACAATACAACATACAACAACTTTAAAAATCTTTCTTTACATAATAGATTAGCAAAGTTTGGATTTAATAAGATCGGATTTTATATTTGGTGATTTTAGTCTTTTTGAACACTGTACTGCACAATATATTTTCAGTATTTACACGTCAAATCTCATCCAGGGATTGCCAATTCATTTTCTATAGTGTTGCGTGTACAATGGGGCAAATTGTTATTTACAGGCACCGTAAAGGTATCAGAATCCCTGATAGAATGATATAAATTTCAATTATATGTGTAAGAGATGCTTACAATTATACCCGTCGTTAACTTTTAGAGCATTTTGGCGACGGTAATATGATACAAATGGCGAACTGTTTTCTCGCTAAAGAATCGTCACTATTCAAATCGTTCTTACGTTTTCGACCAATGGTAATAATATAATTTGAAATAATGATATCCGATATGCATGCTTGTATATTTTACATGCCGTATATGAAACCACTGTAAACGGAATTCAGCTATTCAGCGATCTGGTTGTCTAGCTGGAATCGGGAAGAAGTAGGGATCTGTGTGGTGAAATGCTTGGTTGCTGAAAAACTGCTCTAGTCACAGCGAGCAGATCTGGCATCTGCTCGCGTATCCCTTGGTCCAGCTTCCTGTTGTTGAGCCCGGTGCTGGCCCCATGTATTTCTGTAGGATCTGTTTGATGTGGCAGATTTTTGGCTCCAGAATAGCTATGGATCTCCCAGTCCCCGACAAAGGATACTATCCTTGCCGGGTTAGAGGATACAATAACCAGGGTCTTGGCCATCACAGGTGGTAGGTACCATGAACACTTCTCATCTTTACCTTTGTAGCCGTGTGGTCTTTTCGTGGAAAGTCTGCGTGATCGTCTACAGCTGATAGAAGGTTTAGTAGTGGTGTCAAGGATAGGAATGGTGGGCGATCAAGGGGACAGACAGTCGAGGAGAGCGTTCAGTGGAGATAGGGCGCGGCTAGAGTACCCTTGTATGGCGTCTTTGGTAAAGTGACGTCACTTCAAATACTCCAGTTTATCCGCTGGCGTGGCTCGGCAGTGTGTCGACACGGATAAGGCAACGTCCTTGGCCCATTTCAGGTTCAATGCCTCAATGGTAGTGGCTATGGTAGGTGTTTTCATGGCCGGCTTTACGAACTTGTTCAGACCGTGGATCTTCCAGGCGAAACTTCTGGTGGTTGGTGCTCCGTTCTCCTGACTCTCCATAATGGTCAAATGGTGGAGGCACTGGAGGACCTGGGGAAAAGCCCTGATGGAACCTGAATTCGCTGAGGGTGATAGGCGCTGGTTTGGTTGGCGCTGCTTTTGTAGGTCTTGGTTTGGTTGGCGGTGGTTGGAATCTGTTTCGTAACTGAGACAAATCCATTGGTAGATGCGTGGGCGTGGGAAAAAGAGGACGTCTGGTGTGGGACCTATCCGTGTTCCAAAGGGTTGGGAAAGCGTTACGCAAATAGGGGGAGCTGTTTAGTTCAGACGAGACAATAGAGGGAGGAAAATGAATGTATATAGGTGTGAAAGCTGTATTAGAGACAAATTTTGTGCTCGGACCTATTCCCTGTAATATACGTGGTATATAAGTAAATAAAGAGTATACGACTTAAATGCAAATTAAACCAGTAGCTATGTAGTTTAACAGAGACGAAGGTGGATATTCGGAGTATGCTAATAAGATTCATTATGGGAGATTAGATAAAGAGCAGGCAGTTCTCACTATAATAGTTAAAAACTAGATAATGTAAAGCGAATTTGTTGAAAATTTCAGTCAAATTGATCTACTAGGAACCGATATTTTACCCTCGATCATCATTACTAAATCGATAGGATAAAATCGATTATCAATTTCATGATTAAATTATGAATGGAAGTCGAACAGCAAATCGGAACCTAATCCAATAAACATCGCAGGCTGGCGATGCCATCGATAGTTGATTATGATCTGGATTAGTTAATTAATGTCTAATTAATAATTTAGATAACATTTAAGGCCTAAAGAAAGATCTGCAGTAGGCAGATTTAGCCCTTGCATAATGTATGTTTTATGTCTAATTAATAATTTAGATAACATTAAAGGCCTAAAGAAAGATCTGCAATAGGCAGATTTAGCTCTTGCATAATGTATGGTTAAAGCGAGAATTTCATATTTTCTAAGAAAGTCAAAACATATTTATTTCTATGACTTTTGCTCAATAGGTTGTCAACTTACTCTTATACGATCATAGGTATTATTTTCCTACTTATAAATCCTTGACCCCGGAAATAATAACACAATTACCTCCCTTGTTTTTCTATTCCCCCATGGAATAGCTATCTTCAAACGTTTGAATTTGAAGTTAATAATTCAGATGAATAAGAAAGATTTAACAAGTATAACAAAATTGTGGGGGTAGCATAAACTATACAAAAAATACAAAAAGAAAAAAACCTCTTACATGAAATATAACGGGTATTGCAACGAAACGGCTGCTAATCGTTATATTTTAATAAGTCTGTAGCAGTGGGAGGAAGCCGGAGGACCCGGAGAAAACCCACGAGGTTGATCAGGCGACCCCACTCCTAGTCACGTACAACCTGGAAATCGAAACCACGCCAGTTGACTCAATGACAGACCTTATGATACAGCGCGCACGTGCTAACCATTCGCCCCCCCCCCCCGGACTGGAGTCATGAGAGCACATACCCTATCGATATTTTGCGATCGCTGACCTACCGTTCCGAAGTTATCCCCCTTTTCCTAAACCTTGTCAACGCAATAGGGACTGCATTTTTTACAAGATGTTTTTATGATCCGATCCTATTGATTTTCCCTGTCCATATATAGCAAACTATGGGCGTATCTTGCATGGCAATTATTTGTATTTATATGTCTTTGCCAAATAATTATATCTATTGACATGCCAGAGGCTTAACCCGACCCTATTCCACAGTGTGTATAGCGCTGCCCCACTAACCGTATTACATTGATGACCGGATACAACGTCTAGACCAATGATTTTCCACCAGTGTGCCACGAGACTTTTTTCATGTGTTCCAAAGTGTGCCGTTGGCAAAAAAATGTTGAGAACCATTGGTCTAGAGTCTAGTTGTTTCGATTGGACGGAAAACCAACGTCCTATAAAATAGTTTTTGACAGTTGGAAATTTATGACAAGAAGGTGACGGAAAAGCTGCTGTACAGGAAACATTATCCCGGTTGGTGCCCAAGAGTAGGCCGTTGAAACCCATTCCATTTAATTTCAGCTGTACCAATCTATAGGCCTAACCAAGTAATTGAAAGCCCAATCCAGATACCTAGTGTAGACAAATCTGATGCAACAAGGGGTCAGGTTAAAGACAGCATGGAAAAATTTAATGAGAAGGCGTTTTTTACAACAGTTATGGACAGTCTGACAATAGACAGAGATGTGGTTAAAACAGACAGTCTGACAAGAGGCAGAGATGTGGTTAAAACAGACAGTCTGACAAGAGGCAGAGATGTGGTTAAAACAGACAGTCTGACAAGAGACAAAGATTTGTTCAGTAATGAAAGAAAGAAAACAAAACCAGAGGCTAAAAAGAGGGTCGCTCGGAGCATGGACAGCTATGGAGGAAATTATAATTATGGTGGAGGTGGGAATTATGGCGGGGGTGAGTATTATGATTATGGTGGAGGTGGAACATCTGGTCGTGGAGGGAACTATGGTGGTGGTGGGAATTATGATTATGGTGGCGGTGGATCTTCTGGTCGTGGAGGGAATTATAATTATGGTGGAGCTGGGGATTATGATTATGGTGGAGGTGGGGATTATGATTATGGTGGAGGTGGGAATTATAATTATGGTGGAGGTGGATCATCTGGTCGTGAAGGGAATTATGGTGGTGGTGGGAATTATGATTATGGTGGCGGTGAATCATCTGGTCGTGGAGGTAATTATGGTGGAGGTGGGAATTATGATTATGGTGGAGGTGGGGATTATGATTATGGTGGAGGTGGGGATTATGATTATGGTGGAGGTGGTAATTATGGTGGAGGTGGGAATTATGATTATGGTGGAGGTGGATCATCTGGTCGTGGAGGGAATTATAATTATGGTGGAGATGGGAATTATGATTATGGTAGAGGTGGTAATTATGATTATGGTGGAGGTGGGGATTATGACTATGGTGGAGGTGGATCATCTGGTCGGGGAGGGAATTATGATTATGGTGGAGGGGGCAATTATGATTATGGCGGAGGTGGTAATTATGGTGGAGGTGGGAATTATAATTATAGTAGCAGAGGGGGATCATCTGGTAGTGGAGGGAATTATGATTATGGTGGAGGTGGGAATTATAATTATGGTGAGGATGGGAATTATGATTATGGTGGAGGTATGAATTATGGTAACGGAGGTGGATCATCTGGGAATGGCGGAGGTGGTGGGAATTATGGTGGAGGTGGTAATTATGGTGGAGGTGGTAATTATGATTATGGTGGAGGTGGTAATTATGGTGGAGGTGGTGGTAATTATGGTGGAGGTGGTGGTAACTACGGTGGAGGTGGTAATTATGGTGGAGGTGGTAATTATGATTATGGTGGAAGTGGTAATGGGAATTATGGTGGAGGTGGTGGTAATTATGGTGGAGGTGGTAATTATGGTGGAGGTGATGGTAATTATGGTGGAGGTGGTGGTAATTATGATTATGGTAGAGGTGGTAATTATGATTATGGTGGAGGTGGGGATTATGACTATGGTGGAGGTGGATCATCTGGTCGGGGAGGGAATTATGATTATGGTGGAGGTGGCAATTATGATTATGGCGGAGGTGGTAATGATGGTGGAGGTGGGAATTATAATTATGGTAGCAGAGGGGGATCATCTGGTAGTGGAGGGAATTATGATTATGGTGGAGGTGGGAATTATAATTATGGTGAGGATGGGAATTATGATTATGGTGGAGGTATGAATTATGGTAACGGAGGTGGATCATCTGGGAATGGCGGAGGTGGTGGAAATTATGGTGGAGGTGGTAATTATGGTGGAGGTGGTAATTATGATTATGGTGGAGGTGGTAATTATGGTGGAGGTGGTGGTAATTATGGTGGAGGTGGTGGTAACTACGGTGGAGGTGGTAATTATGGTGGAGGTGGTAATTATGATTATGGTGGAAGTGGTAATGGGAATTATGGTGGAGGTGGTGGTAATTATGGTGGAGGTGATGGTAATTATGGTGGAGGTGGTGGTAATTATGGTGGAGGTGGTAATTATGATTATGGTGGAGGTGGTAATTATGGTGGAGGTGGTGGTAATTATGGTGGAGGTGGTGGTAACTACGGTGGAGGTGGTAATTATGGTGGAGGTGGTAATTATGATTATGGTGGAAGTGAAGGTGGGAATTATGGTGGAGGTGGTGGTAAATATGGTGGAGGTGATAATTATGGTGGAGGTGGTAATTATGGTGGAGGAGGTGGTAATTATGGTGAAGGTGGTAATTATGGTGGAGGTGGTAATTATGGTGGAGGTGGTGGTAATTATGGTGGAGGTGGTGGTAACTACGGTGGAGGTGGTAATTATGGTGGAGGTGGTAATTATGATTATGGTGGAAGTGGTAATGGGAATTATGGTGGAGGTGGTGGTAATTATGGTGGAGGTGATGGTAATTATGGTGGAGGTGGTGGTAATTATGGTGGAGGTGGTAATTATGATTATGGTGGAGGTGGTAATTATGGTGGAGGTGGTGGTAATTATGGTGGAGGTGGTGGTAACTACGGTGGAGGTGGTAATTATGGTGGAGGTGGTAATTATGATTATGGTGGAAGTGAAGGTGGGAATTATGGTGGAGGTGGTGGTAAATATGGTGGAGGTGATAATTATGGTGGAGGTGGTGGTAATTATGGTGGAGGTGGTAATTATGGTGGAGGAGGTGGTAATTATGGTGAAGGTGGTAATTATGGTGGAGGTGGTAATTATGATTATGGTGGAAGTGGTAATTATGATTATGGTGGAGGTGGGGATTATGGTGGAGGTGGGAATTATGGTGGAGGTGGTGGGTTTAATTATGGTGGAGGTGGTGGTAATTATGGTGGAAGTGGTAATAATGGTGGAGGAGGTGGTAATTATGGTGGAGGTGGTAATTATGATGGAGGTGGAGGTGGAGATTATGATGGAGGTGGGGATTATGATTGGGAAAATGGAGAGAAGTCTGGAAGTGGGAAGAATAATGATGGAGAGGAAGATTATAAAGATATTTTAGTGGGTGATTTCAACGGCAAAAATGGTAAGTGTATACATGCGACCTTTGCGCTCTATAAGTTTTTATTTTATTTACAATTAAGAGAAAAACACTGTTTGGTATTTAGCGAGAGTGTTATTGTGCAGTAGCCACAATATTACTGAATTGTATATCATGGGTCAATATGTGCTTGATAACGATAAGAGAATACTTGTCGAAACGTCGTGCTATGCCTATAAACCAGTGATTGTATTTCCATATAAACTGTGTTTTGTTTTAAATGGGTGAATATCATAAATTATTTTAATTTCATTTAAATATCCATCGGAAATGAAATGAAATGGGGTTTAACGTCCTACTGTTCTGCTCCGAACTTGGCTAATGAAGACGGACATACGCCATACAGTGGGCTATGAGCGAAATTTTGCCCGGACAACGGCAGTACGTCCTACTCTTATATCGAATTCCATCTGTCAAGGGATCTTTTACGTGCACCCCAATGTGTACACTGGATCTCGGTTTTTCGTCTCATCCGAACGACTAGACAGCTCTCCTTCCCAGGCCCCCGTCCTGCATCAGTGACAAGGGGAAACCACGCCGAGAAATCTGGATGAACTTTCTCGGCCAATGCAGGCTAGCGAGCCAGCGTCTTACCCAATTAGCCACCGTGACACCAATATCTATGGGAGTTGTTAAAGGTATATTTCAAGCAGTATGACGTTTCAGCGAAATGATAAGACGCCATTTGTAACGTTCGATGTGCCAAGGGCTAAATCTATTTGTTAAGGCCAGCTCAATTTTTGTCAAGGTCGCCGATTGTGATTGTTGGCGAGATTGTAGGTTAGGGTTAGGATGAGCATTGGGGCTAGGGCCAATAATTTTCGTGTAGGCCTACTCTGTTTTAAGGTTAAATTCAGAGACATATTGATTTTATGGTTTGTAAATTTTAGGCGGACAAATATGATTGGTTAAATTCAGAGACATTCTAAATTTATGATATGTAAATGCTACACTGGGAAATATGACAGGTCAGAAAAGACCACTGTGTTAGACATTAAAATGTGAATCCATTTTCTCTTCATTTTATTTCAGCGGCTGTAACCTGTTCTCAAGAATGTTACCAGGTACGAAATCAAATTAAAGTAACAATTTGTTATTTTTAAGTTATATTGTTAAAATGTATTAAAATAAAGCCCTAAAATAGATGGTATCTATAAACAGTCCTACCTTGTTAACGATTAATCCTATTAATCTTATAATTCATTATTGCCAGTTGAGAAATTGGAAAAAATGTCATTTTCAACTTCAAATTCAAAAGTTTGAAGATAGCTATTCCATGGTGGAGAATAGAAAACAAGGGAGGTAATTGTGTTATTATTTCCGGTTTGAAGAGTTTTAAGTGTGAGAAAGATCGTATAATAGTGAGTTGACAACCTATTGAGCAAAAGACATGTTTTGACTTTCTTAGAAAATTGTAACTTTAAGTTACGGTGTCGGGGTGGAAATAGAGTTACAGCGTTTGGGTGGAACTAGAGTTATGATGTTTTGGTGAAACCAGAGTTGGAGTGGAACTAGAGTTAGAGTGCTATTGTGGAACCAGTGTTGGAGTGGAACTAAAGTTATGATGTTCTGGGGAATTATAGTTACGATGTTCTGGTGAAACCAGAGATGGGGTTGAACCAAGGTCATAGTGTTACGGTGGAACCCGTGTTGGGGTGGAACTAATGTCATAGTGTTCTGGTTAAACCCGTGTTGGCTTGGAACTAGAATCATGGTGTTCGGGTGGAACAAGTGTTGGGGTGAAATTATAGTCATAGTGTTCGGGTAGAACCAGTATTGGGGTGGAACTAGAGTCACGGTGTTCGGGTGGAACCAGTGTTGGGGTGAAACTAGAGTCACAGTGTTCGGGTGGAAACAGTATTGGGGTGGAACTAGAGTCATGGTGTTCGGGTGGAACTACTGTTGGGGTGGAACTAGAGTCATGGTGTTCCGGTGGAACCAGTACTGGGGTGGAACTAGAGTCATGGTGTTCGGGTGGAACTAGTGTTCGGGTGGAACTAGAGCCATGGTGTTCGGGTGGAACACTAACACCTTAAACGAACCCGGCAGCCTTATTTACTGAGCCGCCCTCCTCCCTCCTTCATATTTGTGCCTGACGTTTTTTTTTACACGCACATGCAGGACGTTAAACCCCATTCCATTTAATTTCATTTCAGACACTGGTATCAGTAGGCCTGCTACTTTTGTTGATCATTGGTGATTAATATTTTCTGTTCAAGAAACGACCAATTCACTATATATTACGTCATGGATGATGTCACGGGATACCATGGTGATTAGTCGTCACATCGAATACTGATTTTACTATTCCAATATTTTTCCAAGTCATTCTTCGAATAGTCTATAAATTTGTAGATGTTTTCTTTTATTTATATACAGACCTGTAAATCAAATTAAAAACACTTATATGGATATACTACTTCTGAATTTATGAACATGCTACGTTTCGATACACATACAGATATCGTTATCAAGCAAATAATGATATTTAGCAAAAAATGTGGTGCAATATATAGATAACAATTTGGAAACCATATACATGTAACAGATTAATCATTAACGATTACTCCATATAAGTGTTTTTATATCCATATAAGTGTTTTTATATCCATATAAGTGTTTTTAATTTGTGAAATCTACTTCTATATGTCTTATAAGGGTTATAGAACTATGAATCTTTCAATTCTGTCTGTATTTTGTCTGATTATCCACCTGTCATCAACTTGGTTTCCTCCACGATTAGACGGATGACTAAGGGCATGCGATTGCGACATTACTGGATGTGAAAATCACCGACTGGAGAACTAATTAGTTTACTTGCCACAAAATTAGTACAATAAATACTATTTAATTGGGGGGGGGGGGGGGAGGTGGCGAATGGTTATGGTCAACGCGTGCTCATTAATGCATATGGTCTACGATTGAGTCAAGTGGCTTGGTTTCAATTTTTTAACTTGTGCGTGACAAAGGGAAAGGTCGCCTGTTTAATGAAAAATGAATGAAATAAAATTGAACCAAATGTTAGTCCGAAAATGACCTAGTTTGCGTCGAGTGGACGTTAAACTCTCTGTGATACCCCCTTCATAAAGCCCTGTGGTCTGTTTCACGAAATTTTAACTAAGATAAAATCAAAATTTTAGTAATTTGATTGGATAATATTAGATTGATTTTAGTTTTTAGACAATCAAAATTGAAGTATCTACTAAAATTTGGATTTTATCTTTAGTTAGGATTTTGAGAAACAGGGCCCTGTTATTTTCTGGGTCTTTAATATCGTCAATGGTGCCTTTCTATGTTTATAATCAGAGTCTAAGGTCCGCTTTATATGTACGTGCTTCCGCGCGCTAGTTTTATAATTTCCAATTTGTACCGAAAAGTCGCTGAAAAGTTTTGGGAATCCGATGTCATAAGTGAGTCCGACATGATTTACGTTTAGTCGCCGCCTTTTTATAATAACAACAAGCCCCGAAAATATGCCATTTGCAGAACACGTGTTTGTAAAACGCAACAAACAAAGAACACCAAAATATAGAATATAAATATCCGAGAAAAAAGCTGGGAAAAAGTCGCTCATTTTCATTAGACCGAATTTTTCTTTCGTCGACAGAAACGCACATGGAAACGCGTACCGGTACATGGAAAGGGAGCCTTTCAGCGTGGGTCTAGAACTGCTGTCATGGTCGTTCACTGTTCTTGTTACGCAATCTTTAGATAAACATTACAACAAATAAATGTAGTTAAAACTGTTCTATTTGTGATATATGATATTAAAACTGTTCTATTTGTGATATATGACATTAAAACTGTTCTATTTGTGATATATGATATTAAAACTGTTCTATTTGTGACATATGATATTAAAACTGTTCTATTTGTGACATACGATATTAAAACTGTTCTATCTATTTGTGTTATATCTATTTTATTATCGTAGCAATGGTAATAGTTCAAAAATAGATAATGAAAAGTGAACACATTGAAAATTTCATTCAAATTTCTTTATTATGAGCGAAATTTTGGGGTTGGAGAATATGCAACGTAGACCTTTTTGTAGCAACAGTACTGGACAAACCAGGCTAAGTCTCAATTATCCATTTTATCGTTACATTTTAAATCTCGCGGGTGTTCTAAACCATTCAAATCTCAGTCATCCGATGTTCTAGAGTGTTGAATATGGGCGTGTCATATTGATAACTGTCTAAATAATAGTTTATATATTAAATTTGAAGTCAAAAGAAAGACCCGTAATATTTGACTCGTTCGTTCGTTTCTAGAGTTTTACGTCCACTTCCACCTAAGGCGATATCGTAGACAAAATGTTTCCTAAGAAACTTACTGGAGGAAGCCGTAGGGATTAGGCTTGGTCCAGTATAATTTGAGACATAGTGTCTTTGCAGAGAATGCCCAAGGTAAAAATCTCATCGAAAGGAGAGGAGAAAGTTTTGGGGGGTAGAAAAGGGAAGGATGGCGAGCGTGCGCAGTCTGGCCCGCTTAGCCATTAATGCTACTACCTTAATTTGGGTAGGTAGGTTGGTTAGGCGTTTAGGGCCGCCTGTCCGACCTAGATGTAGAGTTCATAGATGCTCTGACCTTTGGGTCGGTAGGGATAGGTAGGACGGTCAGCCGGGCCCTAGGACCCCGCCCCCTGTCCGACCTAGGTTCAAGGATGCAGCAATGCTTTCTGGCCAGGCATTGTGGTGCCGTAGGCCTTACCATCAAAATAAGAAACAGAAAACGCCCCCCACAGGGCACCCGACGTCCCTTCACGTAGGTACGTCCGACTAGCAGTAGCCCTCGGGGTGATCACTTATGGATCCCGTCCGTTGGGCTTGGGGTGGTTCCCCATATTTTCACAAAGTAGAACACCCTTTTCGTCCCTGCGGGGTCACATCATCATATCTAGGATACCGATCTCACACACGAATTCGTAGATTAACTCATAGATCTCGTGTTTGCTTACTTTTGGATACAGTAAGTCCGGAACACTGAGAGCCGTGTTAAGGGAACTCCGCTTATCCGTGAGGGGTTTCCTTTCGGCTGTGGGGCGAGCACAGTCTACTAGAATATGAGTAGGAGACACGTCCGAGCCACAACTGCACCTTATAGACTTAAAGGTACGATATCTGAGCGTTTCTTTCACCTTTAGCTTTGTTATTAACCGGCAGGTTTTCCTGCTGGGATGATTTACTAATAACTTAGCATTTAAGGACTCATCGGATCTGAATCTATATGTGTAGAGTTCTGCAAGGGTGTTTTCCCATTCAGAGCTGACGCGCAACCCGACCATACTTTTAAATTTGTTCATGCTATAAGGAAGCTCGACACTAGGTACCTCCAATTGTGACCCCTTTAGGACAAGCCTGTCCGCCTCTTCGTTCCCCTTTAGGTGAATGTGCGACGGGACCCATACTATCTGGTTGCCCTTTGCCAGAGACTTTTCGTACGCTAGGTAGATCTGGGTTAGCAGTTCGGAACGGGCGTCCGATCTCTGATTTCTTATGGATTCCAGACTACTTAGCGAGTCGCTGAGGACAACATAGTTTGAGTTTCTGTGGCTGGATATCCACACTATACGGTTTCTTTGATCGCATTTATTTCCGATGTGTACACATATTTGACTCATATATAATGGCGTGGTCTCGATTCCCCGGTTGTGCGTGATAAGGAGTAGGATCGCCGGTCCATTCTCGCGGGGTCCACCGGTTTCCTCCCACTGCTAAAGGCCCCTACGGAACTTTGCGACTTCCCTAAGTAATAAGCGATCTATATGACAATGGTTATACTTATTTTTCAATGCACCGTTTCTCCAGCATGATTTAACCGGCCAGAAAATCCCTGTTTGTCACGTGACCCTAAACCTCTCCCATAGCAGTGGCGACGCCATCATCTGTCCCAAACCTGCGGCCTCTGAGGACAGATTTGAGGTGTGGGAAGAGGAAAAATGCAGAGGAAGCTAGATCTGGAGAATATGTTGGGTGGTGGATGATCTTGTGAATTAAAGCTACAGTCCTTTGCAGTGCCCACGGCTACTTGGATAGTTTGAACTGGGGCATTGTCATAGATCGGTCAGACACCGCAGCATTTATCTTAAATTGATCACGCAACTTGCGGAATTCATCAGCGTAATATACACCATTTATGGCATGTTGCTGAGGCAACGACTGCAAGTTTTACAACATCTGGTTCCTGAGGCAACGACTGCGAGTTTAACAACATCTGGACGTTGCTAGATTACTTTACAATTCCTGAACTTATAGCTACGTTATCTGCAGCCACGTGAACAGTAGCATCCAATCAGAGGTGTGGCATAGTGACACCGTGGAAACCTGGACATTGAACGAACCTTGAACTTTGCAACTCGATTATCACAAGTAGACATTTTAGCTGGAAAGCGCGCGACTTGGTAATCGCGATTATCGATGAATCTGATAGGCTCACAAGCTGAGTAAATACCCAATCTAAATTAGTGCCGAAATATGCAGGGTATTACGTGAAGACCTTGATAAGATGTACGTAGTTAAAGCGAGATCAAGCCTTCTATTGAAGATGCATTTGTGGCGAAACACTTATCTTTCCTGATACGACTAAAAGACGTTCTTTTGGACCTTTTGGAGTTGGTGACGTGCATGCTTTAACATTTTGTCTCAGGTTCTGAGTAACAATATGACACAATAGTCAGGCAGCTTAGGAACTGATTTGAGATGGATAGGAATGCTCCGGACAAATGCGCCTATTGTTCCACAAAGACTACATAGGCCTACCACCTTAGCCTCTCATTTTTGATAAGCATCACCTCCTCCAAATCTGGTATCGCGGCCATCTGGGATCTATGACGGCTATGAAAAAAACCCCTATATATCAGCTTCTAAATCAGTTAGGATCGCAAAGTTGTGTCTCCTTAACATGCACGCATGGAGAACGCTAGATCGGAGACACTCCTGCACATTTTAGCACATATGACGTCCTATATGTGCATTGTGGGTTAGGGTTAGGACCTGCAGATTTCGCAAAAGTCTTGAGATGTAAACAGGGCTAACGCTAACCCTAACCCTGGGCTAAGCCTAGAACCCTAACCCTAAATAAAAATCCAAATATGACGTTATATGCAGGACCGTCTCCGATTAAGCGTTCGCCCGCACGCACACCTAGGCAAATGTATCAATCTGTTTCACAGAGATAATGCGAAAGCTTTCTTCTAACTGTGTGTAAGACATTAAAGTAGATAAAAACAAATCGACACTAACACTGTCTTCATCGTCAGATATTATTAAACCAACGTTTCGAAGAGGTACCCTCTTCTTCTTCAAGATAATATAATAAATAAAACATTTCAAAATAATCTTTCAGGAAACAGAAATGACGTCATAGAGAACTATGTCGAAGGGTGCTGGAACAAAGAGGGAAAGCGCGTGAAGAGGGAAAAGTGCCGAAAAATGTTTTTAAAAAAGTCTAAAAAGTATTAATGGGAAAGATGGTTTGAGGATTATCATTATAATTAGTA